ACACTTTTGACCTCCACTAGCCACTTACACTCCCAGCCACTTTAACTGACTGGTTCACTCTGGAGACTTGTTATTCACCTTGAAATTCATCTTGCCTAGAAGGAAGCTATTGCTTATCAGATTTTTCTAAACTGAGAAAGCAATCTTACAATCATAATTATTTCCCAGAGAAGGAAAATGCCATGACAGCTCAGAGCCCAGAATGCAGAGACTTTCTTACCCGTGTCCAATGCCCTATTTTCTGAATCCCAGAGCTTTTTTGGAAATATGGTGCTGCTCAAGCAGTGTTCTTAGAGTCTGTAAAGTTTTCACTTTTCTGGGAAAGCCTTATTTGCTGTCATAACTTTAAGATCCTATAATCTAAAACCTTTGTTGATTATCTTATCTTTTAAAGGGAGCGGAAATTAAGCAAGTTTGTATCAAAGGCCTATTATGTCCCAGGCATTGTGTTAGCCACAGGTCAAATCTCAATGAGTAGGACACATAGATCTCACCTTGAGGGAGCTTCCAGAACTGCTGAGAATAATGGCAGCTAACACTCTCACAGCATTTGCTCCAAATGGCATCATTCTACATGTGTTAATTCATATTTTATTTGCCTGTTACTATCCTTACTTTATAGATAAGGAAACCGAGGTACAGAGACACTCAAGTAATATGTTACTACAGGATTTGAATCCAACTTTAGATGAGTATTTCGTGGTGTTGACTACTATTGAAGACGGAGTTAAGGTGCTGCAGGAGCTTTTGCTTATGTGATTTCACCTAATCCAGGTAGTTAGATGAATGCATAGAAATTAGCCTGGGACTGACCCAGACAAAGGTCTTTTTCTAGTGTATTCAAAGGCTACAGAGTAGAAGTCCAAGGACCAAAATCAACAGTAGACAATTTGTTTGTTGTCTGTCTGATAGGCATGTTTTTTAAATTGTTGAATTCGAATACTTTTAGGCTAAGCACTCTCTCGTTTGTCTTAAACTCGGTTTACTTCATTCATCTCCATTTAGCTACCTTAGGCCTGACCTCAGTGAGTTTGTTATCCTAATACATGGTTTCTGTGATCTACTTCATTTTAATCAGGAGTCTCTTGGTTGCAAGTAGTAAAACCTCAACCTGACCTTATGGCCAAAAGGGGAAATTTACAGATAGTCTACAGATTCTATATATATAACTGCAGGAAGGGCAGAGTTGGAAGGCTCAAGACCTCAGGGACAGTTGGAACCAGATATCTAGTGCTGCTAGAGGGATGTCTCTGCATGTCTCTTTGACTTTTTTTTTTTTTTTTTTTTTTTAGCTGCAGGCTTGCTCCCTCAGCATGGTGGGAGCATGGCTGCCAAAAGCTCCTAAGCTTCTCTGCCAGATAGGGGCTGGCTTGCTTCCCTTGAGTCCACTTTGGAAAATCCACAGGATGTTTTTGTGTGGTTCTGCTGTCCACTCAATTACTGCGGGCATTTTGATTACCCGGTATGGAGACAGAAGTCAGTCAGCTTTGGTGATTATAAGCTGGACATTGCTCTGTTCTCATTATTATCGATTATGTCACATTTCCCAGAGTTCACCCACCAGAAGCTGTTTCTCTTGATCAGAGTAATTTGCCTGGCTGGCACACCTTCTTTCAGGAGCTCACAGTACTACACTGAGGATTATACCATAATGCACACAGATCAGTTCGTGTCGTGAAATGGGATGATCTTTCCGCACTGCTTCCTCAGTCTTCTTATTTGGGGGTCCCCTGTGCAAAGTTAATGCCTTAGAATGTTCCAAGACCTCAGCTTTGAAGGCACTAAGAGCTCCCTGGTGTAGTAGTTGGGAGATTAGCAAGTTTTAAACTTATGTTTAAACACAAAGGAAAGTGACTCAGCCAAGTCACTTTTTTTGTCCTGCAGAGGCTCAGATGAAGCCATGACTGCTTGTTCATGACTTGCTCTCAACTAACGGTGAAGCTAAGGTGGAATTACTGTGTTGAGGCTGAGTCCTAAGAATCTTGTGTGTGTTTGGGAGGAGGTTAACAACACTTTC